GATGAAGGCTGCCCAGATGAAGGCTGCCCAGATGAAGGCTGCCCAGATGAAGGCTGCCCAGATGAAGGCTGCTCAGGGGAAGGCTGCTCAGGGGAAGGCTGCTCAGGGGAAGGCTGCTCAGGGGAAGAATGTCCAGGGGAAGGGTGTCCAGGGGAAGGGTGACCTGGAGAAGGGTGTCCAGATGGATTTATAGGCTTTGCAGAAGGAATAGTGATGTGGATTTTGGAAGATTCGCCTGCGGCGGATCTCGAATTCGGGGAAGCCAGGGAGGCCGCCCCGGCTGTCACCTTGAGACCGATCTCAACAGGAATGATCAAATGGCTAATTTGCTCGTATCCACCGATTGAGATCTTGATCTCAAGGTCCAGGGGAAGCTGAACTTTGGTGATTTCGGGGGTGTGGCTCATGATCGGGTTGTGGGATAGAGGTGTATTGTGAACTGGAGTGTTCGCAGGTGCTGTGGGGAGCACATGGTCACTCACATCTTGGGTGGTCGCATCTTCGGGGATTCTGGCGTGATTGGAATTGTGTTCCGTGGCGTTATCCGGGGTGCACTCTCGGGATCGCTTGGTTGGGGGTGTGTCAGTGGCCCCATCTGTGTTGTCGAGAGAGCGCTTTCGGTTTGCACGCGCAGAGCCGTCTTTTTCGCCCACCGAGTCAAGTTTGGTCGCCTTGAGTTGTTGTCGCACAGGGCGTTCGCCGCTGTCATTGTCGGAGGGAGGCGACTGCGCGGTTACTGTCAAGACAACATTGTCAGATCATATCAACGCTGGAGAAAGCCATGGCCCAGAATGGGTATCTTGTATCTAAATGAGAGCTGCAGGGCGGAACAAAGACGAATCACTGGATTAAAGCGCACCTCTGTGGTCCATTTTCAGTTGCTCTGTTTCCAGAGCTTTGGAAGTTGTCAGCAAAACTGCCCAACTATGTGGGGGATTTTGAGGCTATGCGCTCAAGCAATGATGACATACCACCTGCCGAGGAGTTATTCTCACGGGAAGCAGAAGCCATAGTGTTTCCTCCAAAGGACGAACTTGTCAAAGATATTGGGTGTTCTAGATACCGGATCGAAATTGAGTGGAGCGGAGCTTCCGACAGGTTACGATAACCGCGGATAAACAGATCGGATCGATTGGGACCGGCCGAATCGACGAAGAATGTAAAATTTGAAGTTCTCGAACTTTGCGAACAGACGAGCAAGAGGACGGAGAGGTGGAAAGGTGAGAGAAGAAGGAAAAGATAGCTTGCCGGTTCTTATAACTTGACCGCCGGGTGCGGGGCCCAACAAACGGGTTCTCTGAATAGCAAAAATGTGAATGGAAATGGGAACAAAGCATATTCATCTAATAAAACAATCGTCTATTGTTGCCTAGTTACCTCGGCGGATACAGTTTGCATAGATTTAATTCAAAATGTGGATATACCGGTATCCGCGCTATTCTAGTACAATCCAATTTTGTTATGAGTATTCATTGCGTCAATACCTTATCAGAGGCATGTGATGGAGACGTTTCTCGGCTGCTGAGCACAAATCACAACAGAAAGGTTTTAACTGATGAAGCAGAGACACCCGATCGCAATGTAGAACACAAACAGCGGGTACACTGCGATGCCGACTCGGTTCCGCACCACTCCCGAGCCTCCTAAGATGCTAACTCCAGCTGCTAAAGACCATGCGACTAACACAAGATATACTGGTATCCGTGCAATGGTATGAAGTCTCAGCGCACTCAGCATTGCGGCAATGACCAAGGGGAAAAGTGTATAACCGATTATGCAGATCGACTGAAAGAAAGAACTAATAGGCCGAGACCGCAATGTCAGTAAGCCGCGATATTTGGGGGACGGTTCAAAGAACACTTACATCTTGCCACCAAGCAGCTTAATTTGAAGAGTCACAGCCGCTTCTCCGATCCAGACAAGACAGAAAACACCCGAGAAGACCACTGACGATTGATCACCCTTTGCGATAGACAAGAACAAACTTAGGACCAGGCAAAAGACAAGAGGTCCCCTAGATTAAACCTATGGTTAGTTTTTGCAGATTTTGCGTGTGTAAGGTAGCTTACCAGAGATCCCAGTCCCGCAAGCCCTCGCTCATGCCACCCTGCAGGACCACGTCGGCATCCGGCCAGCGTCCAACGAGTCCCCGAATGTTACCACCAAATCCAGACACACCACCTTGCTCAGAATCAGCTGTACCGCTGCCTCCACGCTGCATCATTCCTCCAAGCAAGTATTTCGGCCAAAGCACCTGGCGCATTTTCTCCCACACGGCAATCAAGTCGCGTGACAATGTCTCCCAGACGCTTTCGTCAATTGTATTTTGTGTCGCACGGCGATCTTCACCACCAATAGAGGAAGCTAAGTAGTTGCCGTAGCCAGAAGCATTGCCTCGGTTGGCTGAGCTGGATTCGATGTTACCTCGCAGAGGGGTCGTGTCGGAGGTACCGCGTAGAGGGTCGTCGGCGTCAACGGCTAGAAACACATCGAATTAGAATCTTTTTGATGTGCCGGTAGTTAATAAGGGTAAAGAAAGTACCCACCATCATCAGCTTCGATCAAATCATCGCCAAGGAGGGAGTCGTCATCATGGGGCTCATCATGGGGGTGGCCTTGGTGTATGGTAGCCATGGTCCACGTGGTATGGTCGCGATGGTCGAAAGACTAGCACGAAAATGGCACCTCCTTTAATTTAGTCGTTTCAGAGGCGAAGTCGACAGCAAAGGTAAAGGCAATCGAGGAGTATGCAAGCGAGTTGGCCAAGCTGTCCCGGAAAGGCTAGAGTGGCATTACGTACTGGGTCACGGGCAAGGTTCCCCAGGCACGTTTTTGTTCCAACATTCACTTCAACAATGCACGTCTTGCATGCACATCACAGGATTTTTGATTTTGAATCATTTCAAAAGCCTTCTATTTTCCTAAACTTTATAACCATCTTATGTGGTTAATTTGACAATCAGTTTTCTTTGATACCATCAACATAAGGCTCCTCCTGATACACATCGTACATGTACTTGCTTCCAGTATGATCAGCCCTGAGCTCTTTCTGTTCCTTGTCAAAGACCTTCTTACGAGCGGCGAGAGATGTCTCTGAGGGATTTGGATGCTCGGGCTAAACCCTGCGTCGCTTTAGCTCGGGGATGAGTAGGTCAACCACCTCCTTAAAAGTGCCAGGCGTGGCGACATAGGCAAGATTGCACCCATCGAGGTCAGCCTCTTGGATCCAACGCTCTGTCTCTTCGGCAACTGTAGCAGGGCTTCCAATAGCCACCGGGTCGAGACCACCAATTGCAGCCCTCTCGGCAATCACGCGAGGAGTCCAACGCGGGATTTCCTTGCTAGTCGTGAGTAATGAGTCAAGCCAGCCAGTGACTTTGTTTGCCTCCAAAGAGCCTAAAATTGTGGTTTCTTGATCCAGAGCGATTTTGGAAATGTCGATTCCAGTCCATCCGCTGAAAAGAACCAGTCCTTCAACCACCGAGGCGTACTTCTTGAGCTCCTCGTACTTGGCCCTTGCCTCTTCGTCAGTCTTACCTATAATGGGTGCGAAGGTACTAAAGAGCTTGATTGATGCGGATCACGGCCCCATTCTGCAGCTAGCTTGCGGATATTTGCAATCTTCGGCTGCAACACCGCTGGTGAGTGGGAAGAGACGAAGGTTGCCTCAGCGTGTGTCGAAATTCTATACGCAAACCACCGAGCCAGTCTTCAAAATCATCACCCTAATCGAGTTGTGGGAATGCAACTCGCTTATGGAGCACCTTCAACTAGTCATCTGCCTGGCGGTACCGTTCGTCAAGCTCAATTGGAATATCCATATCGGTGGTTTTGAAAGCCGCTTTCTTATATGAAGTCACAATGTTCCAACTCATTCGGCCATTGGTCAAATGATTCAAGGCTGAGAAACGCTTGGCCACCAAAAAGGGCTGCTCAAATGAATTCGAGGCGGTGATTCCAAATGACAGATTCTGTGTCACTGCAGCCATTGCCGAAATGGGCTAATATGAAAGTTAGAGTCTGATCTGAATTTTCGCGTTGTTGAAACTCACGGCAGTCGGGTCTTTCACTGGCCATTGTGCCGCACGTCGAATACACTCGCCCAGTATGCCTTCATAAGTATCATGGCCTCCAGTTGTATCTGCCAGGAACAATGCGTTGATTCCATCGCGCTTCCAACAACTTCGCCAACTCTATCCAGTACCCAAGCGTTCTCTTGGTTGCAGACTTGTCTTTGGCATTCTGCGGAGCTGTCAGCGTTTTGGTCCTTGGACTTCAATTCATACACTAACCTTCCATTGTCCAGGAGGTAGATGTCCCACGGTCGACACATTGAAAGCATTGAGCAAGATTTGTTATTTTCAAGTGCTGGCGGAGCCATTCTGGCTAGTAGCTGCAGTGTCTCCCCTGATTCACAGTTTTCAGTACAAAAGACGCTTTCTTTCTTTATCGCGTTCGGAATTTCCTCACGCAGATGAAGCGTTAGAATATGTTGATATTGCAAATTGATCAACCCACTTGGAACTCTTAAATCGTTGTTTCATGTGAGAAGTAGAGAATGTACCAAATGGTATTATGTACATGATGCAAAAATATGCAAACGCCATCTATAGCCCCCTGTGTGATATACAAACATAATACAATCGGGACCTCACTCGGTCTCGTCGTGTCCAAGCTCACGAATGTGATTAAGCCTTAACCAGTGCTTCTCAAGAGGATAAGTCCTCTTGCTGATCTAGACCTTCTTGATTGCGAGAGTTCCGAGCCTCCCACTGGAACTTTTTGATGCGTTCCCGGGCTTCCTCCTTCTGCTGAATCGTTGGGTATACCTTCTTCCTTTTGAAGGTCGCAATAACATCCTTGTCAGAATACTTCTTCAGCATCTTCGAGTCAGCTTCAAGGGCCTTGCGCTCGGCCTTTGAAACGTAAGATTTATAGTCAAGCTTGAGAGTGTCGTCAACCACCAGACGAACCCGCGACATGATCTTGACAGCCGCCGAACCAGCGACAGAATCCGAAAGTGTGTTCTGGAGGGCACTCCAGCGAGTCCTCAACTCGGGCTTGCCGTTCTCCATTGCCTCGTGCAGCTGGAGGATATATGGCCGTAAAGCGGCGATAGCAGCTAGTCGCAGCTTGGCTTGTAGTTTCCTGCCCATCTCATGCAGTCTAGGGGGTTTGGAGGTTTTAGAGTCTTCTGTGTCGAGTCCTCTGAGGTGCAGAAGGACGGACGGGTTGGTTGAAAGAATTTGAATCATTTCCAGATAGCCGTCTAGGACGCGAATGTCTGGTAAAATCAATGCTTTGTCCATCAAAGCGATCAATTCGTTTGCGTGCTGGAGAACTGAGTGGTTGCGGCGATCCCGGCGGCAGACACTGAGAGCGACATGGAATGCTGTTCCGGTTGCTTGACCGGAGGGAACCATCTGCTCACGCATGGTTTTGACGCTGATTTTGCTGGAGCGAGAGATGCGGAGGAGGCGGAAATATTGGATGTAGGTAAAGGTGTCGGGGTCAATGCGGTAATCGTGGTCTTCCAAAGTCATATGTTTCCAGTAAGCCTGTCCACCCTCGGATCCTTGGGTCATGGTGAAACAAGCATTCAGGATAAGAGTCAGTTCCTTGCTGTTGGGTTCGAGGAATGATAGCTCCTCCGCCTGAGGAACGACAGGTTTGAAGAGTTCTGCAAAGTCTTCCTCTTCCTCCTCTTCCACTTCTTCCTCTTCCACTTCTTCCAATTCATCTCTCAGGTCTTGCTCAAGTTCCACGACCGGTTCCAAACTTTGGATTGGTCGATTATTTTCGTCTACAAACGGAACGTCTTCCATCTTTGATTGCCGTGTAGCCTCTGAGACTTCAAGTGCTTGACTTTGCTCGGGGGTGATCCTGCGGCGGGTCGTCTTCTCGTTCTCGGTGGGTCGCTTTTGCAGTATGGGGACCCCCATGGTTTGCTTGTACAATTCCATGACATTGTAACAGTCTATGTCACTGCCGCCTTCCAGAAGCAAGCTGGCCATGCCGTTTACAAGTTCGTTGTCAATTTTCAAGGTCTGGTTCTTCCACCGCCAGATGACATCGGCCCAAATCCTCTTGCCCTCGGTGATAACCTGTGCCTTGCGTTCGAGAATCTTTTCAATCTCATCAGGAGACATCTTCTCTATGTCTCTGCGCGCTGCGAATTGGACGGCATTCAGAATGATGGTGTAGGTGGTAGCATCCGGGGCACCAGGCCCCTCTTCAGGTAATTCACCAGCAATTTTCCACAGTCGATCCATATCCCAATGACGATGGCAGACTGTGAGCATAGCGTTGGTATGTATGATATCGAGCTTGACTCCAGAATTCGGTGAACCTATTGAGCGGTAGACAGAGGCGGCAGTTTTGGCGACACCCAATGACCTCGGGGCTGAGCTGAAGCCCTTCAGCATGATCGTGTATGTTCTAGGAGTTGGTCTCCTGCCACGCTTTTTCATCTGCGAGAGACAGTCTGTCAGCATACAAGTTTAAACATCAAGCTCGGGCAACTCCCCGAATGGAAGCACCACAGAACGACAAAACTCACATCATTATAGAACTTAAACGCAGCCTGTGGGTGATTTTGATCCATACAATATTGCAGAAGATGATTCCAGGCAACATCACATCTCAACCCCTGCTTTGTTCCAGCACGAACCAAGGCCGCCGCTAGGGCAGGATTTCCACTGTGCAAAATGCGCGCGACCCGATCCGCCATTTTCCGAGGGTCGTTCAACCATTTCAACTCCTCGTTGATAATCTTGGGTGTGAGTTTGGGCATTTCTCGAATCGGGCCACGATAGCTGTCGTTCTCGGGGGCCTCGCCATCAGCAGAATCCGCCTCAACATCAGCCTCCAAATCACGTTCTTTTGATGCTTGGTCCCCAGGGAGACCGTTCTCCTGCACCTCGCTTTCACCATCCTCATAATCATAGGGATCTTTCTCCAAGTCCTCGGTTTCAGCAGCCTCGGGATCCAAGGCATCACTATCAGCAGTTTCACGCTCACTGTTGTACCGCCCAGTAAACGAACCAGACGCAATGGCCATCAAAATGTCATGATCATCCCTAGATCTGACATCCTGAACCTCCCGCCGATTCCTCTGCCGATTTTTAAAATGTTTGTCGCCAACATGTCCAATGCGGCGAGCATCGCTGTCTCTGTCGAAAGACCGGCTGTGGGAGGAGGAGTAGGAAGAAGTATATCGGCGGTGATCACTTGATACAATCCATGTCTGTGGTAGTCGTTGGGAAGCAATGTTAGCACGGTATTGCTGTGCGGTAAGAAGTCGGCTGCGCAAAGCTCTGTTCACGAGCGACCCCGGAAACCGGAATGTCATGACCGGATTACTGTGATCTCCAGAAGTTAAGCTTGTGTCCTGCACAATACTAGAAAGGATAGACAGATTAAACACGGACAGAGTGGCAAAATGGAAATACAAGAGGAACAGATTGTTACTTCCTCATTGCATGTTGGAGATGCACCGCAAAACATTTCGCAGATTGTCCGGACGCTAGTTCATATCAGGCCTAGGTCTGATGCCTGCATATTCAGGCATCTTTACTTTATTGCCTGAGGCATTTAAAACCCATTGATACCTCAGGTTCTTGAGCATGCAACTAGACTGCAAGTGGTTTAGTTCCCATTCCTTCAACCCATGTTCCCTGCGGGCCTGACGGGAACGCTAGAGCGCATTTCCAAGAGTCTTCTGTGCGTTTTAAGTACTTTACTAGTGTATTAGCTTCCTTAGGGGTTCTGGATCTGCGTTACAGCCGTGGATTTAGTCCATGCACCGATCCGTGGCTGAAGATGGACTTTCCTACTTTAAATCAACCTATATCAAAGTGGACGCCAAGCTTCATATAAACACTACATCACATCACTTGCCTCAGTGATTTTCTATAATTAGATCCTCAATGTCTAGCCGAAGCCACAGGATCCAGAGCCTTCACAATACCAGGTATTCCTATCATTCAATTCCAAGTATACACAACTCAACCCATAATCTAAAAGTCAACGACTCTGCATAGCTATGTTGTGTGTAGTAGCCAAATTTCACTTGCTATCACTACACCCATGTAGATCAGTCACTACATTCTGCCTAGCCAGCGTCCACCCCGACCCAACCGAACCATACTTTGTACCACATGCCCAGGCGACGTAGAGTAGCACAAGACACTAGTCCGAAGCTAAGAAACGTGCAGTGGAGCACAAGGAGAAACAGACTAAGCACTAAGCAGTGTGACAGAGCATGTGGGTGGCTAGGCAGGAAGAGGAAGCAAGCTAGAAACAATTAGGAATAACTCTAACAGGAAAATTACCACCAGGCTCCCAACTATGATATCGGTGGCTGATACTAATGCCCCAACACGTGGAGACGCTTTACGCTTTACTGTACTAGCTTCCTGTCTTATGTATGATTTACAGCCTACATATACGCAACGCTGCACTTTGTCTTATTTGGTTCTAGTCAAGTACATAGTAATGTACTCGCATACATGTAGGTACCTTGTACAGAAAATGCCAGTGCGTACGCGCATCAATTGGCCTTCAATGCATGGTATTGTGCTCGGTCCACGGTAAGTGCCGGTACTACTTAGTGCTGATTATGGTAAGGCGCGGTTGGCTTAGAATGACTCCGTGGTTGCTTGTTACCACAACTAATTTATTCATGTAATTCTAATGCTTGTTTGGTTCTCTCTGGCTCCGCTATATATGCCTTTTTTGATAGGCATGCTTAGATCAGGCTAGCACATAATAGAGAGGCTGTGTACCTCAATGCATTCTCTTTTTGTCTCATGCTTCTCGTGGGCCATGAGTCCACTCGCCTATATTGGGCAAATTCCGCTTTCGACTTTCTTGCCTTCATGTCATCGAAAATGTGGGCATCCTTTTCATACATATTTTTGGGGTAGATGGTACACCAACTAGGTCAACAAATAAGCCAATTGCCGATAATGCACTAGCAAGGGAATAACAAAAAGAAATAATACACATCATCGGATTGGAGCATCAGTCCGTGGAGCATAATATACGTTATCAACAGAAAATGGAGGAAAGAGAGGAAACAAGAGAACGTATTTGCATGTAGCAAAGTTCAACACGGATAAGAGGAGACGAGAGACAAGTAAAAAAAAATCAAAGAACCCCCAGGGAAATGATGTTGGGAGAATTCTGTTGATGATGAACAGATGCAAATAATCCGCCACCCATTTCATCCTCGAAGCCATGACCCCAATAAGCGGGCCAGCAAAGATAAGACACATACCACTTCTGCACCAAATTTCAAGTGGGAAACAGAACAGAGGGAGGGTACACAAGGGCAGCACACTCTCTCAGCATGATGCACTCTCAACACAAAAAGGATGACAGGTATAGAACAAAGCTGGAAAAGCCACTCTTAGACAGATTAGGAACAAAAGCCGCAGAGGATGGTATCATAGCATGAAAAACTTGGGAGTTGAAGGATGTGATGTGTTGGGGGGAGGGGGAAGGGAATCAGAATCCAGGACGAGAACATAAGCCAAGGACAGGGGATATCGTGATAAGAAAGAAGAAGCAAATGCATTTTCGTCCGTATAAATCCATAGCGGAAGAGGTGATTATGTGGGGATTATTGCGGAGAGATGGCGGATTGAGTCTCTGGAAGCCGTAGCGAATTTATGGATCAGCGGACAGGTCGGGCGAGGATGACACTGTCGAAAGAGAAGTCCAGAAGGTCGATCCTGGTACGGAGAAACGGCGGCGACATTACTCACGTTGCGGGTACACCGGTCCGCTCTGGTAGGGAGAGTGAGGATAGTTGGGAGGGTAGGCCATCTGTGCATTGTTCTGATAGACCATGCCACTACCAGGAGGACCACCGTACTGGCTAGGAACTTGGCTATCCGCGGGTTGGTATCCGATCGGAGGGAGTTGCGGGCGGACTCCACCGGCATAAGCCGGCGGCTGTCCGTGGGATGGGTCAGAGGGGTTGGGAGGTTCGACCTGGTTGGCCTGGGCAGCCTGAGCGGCAGCACGCTCACGCTCCTCGATAGCCTTGCGCTGAGCCTCTTCCTCCTTCTTGCGAGCCTTCCATTCCTTGCGGATTTCCTTGAATTCTGGAAGAGAAAAGTAAGTAGTGGACATGGGTGATAATGTTCAGTTGCCAAAAGGGGAAGTAGCACGAAGGATGGTTGCGGGCGAGGGAACGGCCGAAAGGGATTAGAGGCAAATTTAACCTCCACGCCGTCGGCCACGCTACTGCGGGCCCCGCGACATCTAGTGTAACTCACTAGCGTCCAACAGCCGGCGCTAACCCGATCCAGCCATTTGCGACAGAAGATTAAGATCTCAGTCGCATTGGCCACCAAAAACACGCAAAAACAACAAAACGATGAACCTACCCTCCGGAGTGCGCTTCGCGCCGTGCGACTGCATCGTCACATGTGCATTCAAATGGTTTAGTGTGCCATATGCTTTCTCGCATCCGTTCCATCCACACTTATACATGCGCTCAATTTCCTCGTAGCGACGACGAGGACGCTTGTGCTGCTGTGCGCCAGGAATTGGGACAAATGAGTAGACCTAAATTTTGGGAGGACCGTGAATCAGCTTTGATCAAACCCAGTGGATTCAAATCCACCCAATCATATCCCAAAAAGGAAGCGGTTGAGGGGCAGAGCACGCTGTTTTTGACGATCCCTGCGACGGTGACCTACGAGCCGCATGACCAAGCCCAGAGGCATCCCAAGACAACCTTGATTGAACAAAGTAAAAGGCTTTGAGAGGTACCCCCAGGAATCATCAAAAACATACCTTTGGAGTGCGCGACCTTGCAAGGGCAGGAACAGGGAAGGTGGAACCAACCGTTGTGGCCGGGGAAGCATACGGTCCCGGCAATCCATGATGCTGTTGTCCATAACTATGCGGCCAATCCGGGCGCGCGTACATGTGCTGAGGCGGAGGAGGGTGACCCTGGTACTGCGCCATCTCATGCCCCTGAGGCTGATAGGGAGAGTAGGGAGGAGGGTATGTGGGGCTGTTGGCCGGAAGCGAAGGATCTATAGGAACGGGCGCGTCAGACTTTGAGTGCGGACTGCGCGGGCCCGTAGGCAAGGTGTTGATGAACGGACTTGTTGCTTGAGCCATACCTGCCGCACCACCGGGTTGGGAGTTGGGGGCGTAGGACTGGGGAGGACGGTGAAGGTAGTCCTGGTAGGCAGGTGAGCGGGCGGTCGGCGGAGGGTTCAGACTGTAATCCGACTGAGGAGTATTGGCCGACGGAATATTGGGTCGGACTTCCGGCTGCGGTGTATATTGCGGCGTAGGGCGGACCTCGGGTTGCGGGGTGTAGTGAGCAGCAGCAGCAGAATTTTGGTCTGCGGGTTTTTGTTCAGAAGGGGCGTCGGTCACGGTGTTTGGGTGGTGCGAACCTGGCTGTGCGTACTCGGAAGCGGGCCGGTTGTCCATAAAAGAGAAGATTCGCGTGCAAGGATGCCGACGAATCTATGGGGGGGGGGGAAAGAGTTTCTGTGTTGGATCTGTAAAGACGCGTTAACACAACAATAAGTCTTGAGAAAAAGTCGGGGCAGTTGACGAGTCGGTCCGACACGTTCCAAGCAAGGGGACGACTAGCTTGCCACGTTGGAATCGTGACTGACCTCTCCAGATCTACGATATTCTGAACGTACCTTTTTCTGTTCAATTCCTAGGGAATTGAAATATGTGTAGTTGAGTCGCGAAACACTGATCGAACAGGTTTGCGTACAGATGCTTTCGTGATGAGAGATCTGAGACAGAAAGAGAAGAGAGTAGATTCAATTCACAAACGTTCAAGAAGTTGTAAACTGAGGGTTGAAAGCGCGCAGCTTTAGGGGGAAAAAAAAATTTGGAGGTTGATACCAAGATGCTTAGATGCTATGATGCTTAATCTTAGTTCGGAGGATGCCTTGCAGGTGGCGGTAAGCACGAGGCACCGGAAAAATAAAAAGCGGACGACAACTAAAGAGACTAAAAGAAAAAGATTCAGGAGCCAACGCGACTTGGAGCGGCCTAAAAGGTAAGACGATTAGGAGAGAGGGAAAGCAGTCCTCGTGGGATCCGAGGATGTTGTGGACCCGGTGGACCACGTAATTTTGGTTGGCGATATCGTTGGTCATGGCAAAATTACTGCATTGCTTTTGTGTTTTGGTGTTTTGGTGGTTTTATTTTATTTTAAATTTTTTTTTCCTTCTTGTAGTTTGGTCTTTTTTGTCTTTTTTCATCTTTTTGTTTGATCTTTTTTAGATTTCCGATTTCCGATTTAGATATTGTATATTCAATATAACAGTCTCACTGTATATTGGGCCACATATAGATAGGGCTCACAGGGACACTATAAATACAAAACCAAATTCCGAGGAGAGACATTTAAATAGATCAAAAGAGGGATGAAAATGAATTTTTTTTATTTTGGAAAAAAAAAGAGGCATTTACTTTCTCTGACCTCGGACCATTCCCTTTTTCTACACCACACTCCGATTTTTAGCTGGATTGGCCCCTTTTCCCCTCAGTGTCTTCGTTACCGGCTAAGCTTTCCACGTCTGTGTGATTAACCCTTTTTTTTTCTTTTTTTCTTTTTTTTCGATTTTTGGTTTTTGAATGGGAAGAAAAAGCGGAACCATCCAGGCGAGAAGTGGCAACCTATTCCTCTGAAATTCTTCTCATCCGGGGTCAAAATGATTGAGTATGGATAGATTGTCCAACAAGTGATGTAGACAAATGTTGTTGGTTTTTGCTAAGGACTACTGGTTAGGTTCCCAACTGGAGGCCTCTTAGTCTACCCGCAACTCGGGTGCGTCGAAGGGAGAACCTAGCGTCTATGGCCCGTGGGTACCAAGATGTCAAGAGCCAGGGGTGGGCTTGAGTTGGACCAAGGTGGGCGCTAAGAATGGCGTGCCCGAGGAACCTCAACCCAGAGATGGAACCAATTCTGAAAGGGGCATAGAGGGGGGATACTTAGGAACACTTGCCCGTTATCGGGAGGGAACTAAGGTAGAAAAGGGAGTAGCGCAGGTCGGGGGAAGTAGAAGCGATGGGACTCGGGAAGACCAGGACTAGTGTGGACGACCAAGGGCGGGCACTCGGTCCTGGTTGCACCAATAGGAAAAACGGGGTGGGGATTGAGTGGAGAAAAAGAGAAGCTCGGTGGACAAGCCTGACTGGGAGGAGTCTAGCGCCAAAGTCTGCTGCAAAGGTTCAAAGCCGAGGCGGTTGAAGCCGGTGATAGCTTCTTTTCCTGGAAAGGAGGTTTGGTGTTGCACTTTGATTACAGGTATTCAGTACCTATTCATCTGTTGTACTCAGAACCCAACCGCCACGGGTTCATGTCCACATGCAAAGTACATCCAAAGAGGCTTAAAGTTTGAATCACAAGGGCAGGGTTCACCACTGATCGACCACCCGCTATGTTCCCATACGCATCCATCATGGGTAAGTCCTGTCGACGGTGCTGAGTGAAACTTGTAGAGTCATGGCCAGAAGATCTTGTCGCGTAACCGTCACGATACCTACAGACGCGTGAGTGGAGACCGTGGAAGAATAACTCCCCGTGATCCGAGCCTATCTCCTGACCTTCTGGACTTTGAGGGGAAAAAAAAAAAAGAACATGTCATTTAGATCAAACGTTTCAATTTTAGACGCAAGTTTCGATTTCTATTGCAATCTCCAATCCTACAGTGCAAAGCTATGAAGTAGGTAAAAGAGATGTCCTCCGTACCACTCCGAGTGATTGATGTTCCAATCAACTGTCTCTACAACACACATGTGATAATTATAGTATAAACCAAAAAAAAAAAAGCACCTACCACACCAATCTCCGTACCAAGGTAGAAAAGAGGAGAAAGGGGGCCATTATTTTCCTAGCGGGATTTCCGTGGGACGAGCCCATCACCGCCAATTAGCCCAACTCATCAAATTGCGAGCGGAGTACTCGGCGGCTCTCCGGTACGATCAGTGTATGTTCAGTGCTCAATTTTATCGCGGACTATTTGAGGGCTGTTTGATCCGTACAGTAATTACATGTATGGAGCCCCCTGTGATTCATGATTCGCGTATGGATTCATATTTCAGCCTCCCAGTTAGAGAAAGTGGGGGATCCAAAAAATCACGGAATACATATGGATTCCGTGCCGGCAAACCCCCACCCGGGTTACCTGCGAGTCTGATAGGAATGAAGCAGGAAAGAGGGAGAAAATCCTCTATAATGCAGGGCTCTCAGCTCGGAAAACCGACATCCTTTCTTCAATTGCTGATTGGCGTTCGCAGGGGGTCAGATCTCACCCCGCAGACGCGGAACCTATTCCTCCACTGCCGGTGAGGAAAAAGCAAGATGATGTATGATTTTGCTTTCCTTTTTTTTTATGTTTATTCTTGGTTTAGTTTGGGGGGGGGGAGGGGGGAGGAGGGAGGAGGTTGGTCTTCGCAGGATCATTTACATCATGCCCTGACGAGTCATGTACTATTGTTTGCAAGGCAAAAGTACGGGAGTACCTTGTTATCAGGGATAAATAATAATCCATCGTCCGGTTGGCAAATGGACAAATCAACAAATGGACACCGACAATCTCTAAACGACGTAACAGTGGGACCAGGCGGACTCCGCGCGGACAACACACAATGTCCAGTGTTCCGAGGTCTAGTGCGGGATATCCGGCGTCGAGAGCAGAACGGGATGATCATCACATTCATCTGGCGCGTCAACCATTGGACGCCGCAGCCGCTCTGTATCCAGTCGCGCTGGACGCATACAGAGGTCAAGAATTAATCGTACAGGTCGCGACTTCGGGAAATCATCCCGAAAGCTCCAGAGTAGCACATTTGTCGATAGGGCTTTGGAGTTGGTACGATCCTTTTTTTCACTGGATATATTCATACAGCAGTGTAATGGAAGATGTCTTTCGCAGCTGTGGTTAATTGGGGGGGGGGGATAATTAAAAAAAAAAAAAAACAACAGTAGAGAG